CTGCCAGAGCTCCCTATCAAATGCTACCCTTTTGATACTATACAGTTCATAATTCTAATGAGTGTGTACCTTCTAATCTTATGTTTGCCATTTTGGCCTCTCTGTTATTTGGCTGCAAGCTGAACCATTGAGGTGCATTTTGTTCAATTTTTTAAAGGTGTCTAAGAACTATAGTCTTGGGGTTCCATCGTCCACTATCAGGCCAGTAACATGGTCCATTTTAACATTCTTCATCCACTTTTTATCCTTTTGTGATTCATTTTAGAGCAGTCAGTATTGGCAGCTGTTGTTGTTAGGTGCCATTGAGTCGAATACGGCTTACAGTGACTCTGTGAACAATGGGTTTGAACTTTGTCCTACCCTGTGCCATCCTCACACTTCCTGACACACTCGAGCCCATTACCGCAGTCACCATGTCCATCCACCTGGTTGAGGGTCTTCCTCTCCTTTGCTGACTCTCCACCCTTCCACGCATCATGTCCCTTTCCAAGGAGTGGCCCCTCCTGGCAATATGCCTGAAAGGTGAAGCCTCATCATCCTTGCCTTCAAAGAGCTCTCTTGCTGCACCCGCTCCATGACATACTTATTGTTCTTTTGACCATCATGGGATGTTCAGTGCTCTTCTCCAACACAATAAATCAAAGGCATCAATTCTTCTGCCATCTCTATTCATCGTTCAGCTCTCATATGCACAGGAAGTGACTGGAAAGACTGTGGCCTGAATCACACCCACCTTAGTCCTCAAACTGACATCAGAGTGGCAGCTGGGCATTATCTAATTCTCCTATGCTCAGGGTCATGGGGGTTGAGGGTCACAGAGAGTCATTATCATTAGCTTTTAGACTAATTGTTTCTGTGCATCTTTGCTTTCTTTCCCTCATCTTTGTTCTGGACAGAAAGAGACTAAAATCTATGCTTTCGATGACTGCTTGCAAGCTTTTAAGACCCCGGCCACTACTCACCAGAGTAGGATATAGAGCACTGTGTTTGTGGACTGTCATACCATTGCCTTTGTGAACTGTGTGATGACCTTCGTGTCCCCTGACACTATGGTTTCAAGGTGCTGGGACCAGCAACACCTTTCCTCAGGGTGATGAGTCAGTTATGTTTCAGAAGTTTACATGAGTTCTCTCCCAGTGGTCTCTGCCATATACACAGCATGTACTAATCTGAATGTAGAAATGTCATGTGCCAAGCTTTTGTATGATCATGGATGCGGTATCTCTCTTGTCCATGTCTGTCCTTCAAGCCTTTCTGCATGTGTATCCACTTGTAGATTCATGTTTATTATTGCAGATGTTGCAGGATTGTGGGGTACTGTTTAAACTGCTCAATAATGTTTCCTTCTTTTTTATTTTAACTTTAAGAGTCCCTAAGGCTGGGAGGGAAATGTGCAACAATAAACGAATGAAAATTCAAGTTTTCAGTAAACTTTCATTAAAATCACTATTTTAAAAAAATGTGAAAAAAAACACACATGATGGAATACTATGCAGCACTCAGGAGCAATGATTTTGAACATTACTATATAACTTGGGAGGGAATGGAGAACATTATGATGAGTGAACTCATCTCATAAGGACATAACTCAATCTCTTAAGGACAAATACTATATAAGACTGTTATTACAGAAATAGAAAGATAACTAGTAAAACGTGTATGAGCATCCGAGAGGGGATGGTAGAAGCAGAAAGGTGAGGAAAAGCAGGAGGAAAATCATTGGGTCACACCATTTGGTGGGTGAGGGGAGGGATGGATAAAGGACACTGGAAAGATCCAGCAGGGATTTGGAAAGACAGCATTGGTGGGCAAAGTTCAATGTTGATTAATTCTAAAAAATATAGTGAATGGGAATAATTACATGAAACACAATGTGAATGAAGAATAGTGTGAAACACAATGTATACGAACTTTATAAGCAAACCAATATAAAATAAAAAATTATTTAAAATAAAGGGGAGGAGTATTTTGGGGCTGGTGGGTACTTGTAAGATGAAAGGAAGAGTTGGGAGAGGGGAAGATATTCACAGCACCCATGTTAGTAAGAGTAGCCACTGTAATAGAGAGTATAAGACAATGCCAAGGTTTTCTGGGATTATGGAGTTGGGACTAGCCAGTAGATTGAGAAAACGAGGCTCAGTCAGCAAAGTGTCACACATGCCTTGGAGGAGATGAGGCAGTGATAATAGTTGCACTACAGGAAGGATATACTCAAAATTCCTGAATGATACATGGAAAGTTAATGAATTTGGCAAGTGTTTTGCTCTGTATAACCCCTTTCTTTCCTCCCACAAATGAGCTACCCAGGTGTCAGAAGTATCTTCTGGGAAGACCCTTCAGGAAGCAGAGTGGTCTGCCCCAGGTGGCACTGGGCTCCCTCTGCTGGAGGTTCTTGAGTATAGACATCACAGCTCCTTTGTTCAATGTTAGGTGGGGCGCAGACGAAACAAGCTTAGCTGGGCGACCCATAACTTTATTTTAGGCAGGTGAATTCATAGGACATTTTTCCCCAGGAATTTAAAAATGTCACACGTTAGACAAGAAATCTCATGTCTTTATAGAAGTTCTATATTTTTGTTTGTAGAAGTAGTTCTGTTATATACCAGTTCATGCCACCTTTTCTCTTACCCAGCCCTTATAGAGCCACACCTTCAGGTTCTCGTATTGTCCCCTTGGCCCCACACTCTGACCCTGAGCCAGAGGATTGGCTTTGAGACAGCAGCACTTTTTGTTGTTTAGGAAGTGGTGACCTTTCAGGATGTGGCTGTGTACTTCACACGCACAGAATGGGCTCTCCTTTCGCTCGCACAGAAGACTCTGTACCGAAAAGTAATGCTGGAGAATTATGGGAACTTGACTTCCCTGGGTAAGGCATCCATATTTTAAGGCTTTTTTCTTTCCTTTTTCTCCTGACAGGCTGGGTGTAGTGGGTAGGGGAAGCAGAATGGGCTCTCTCTTTTATCCTCTGCTGAATGGTGACTTGCAGACCTGATGCTAAATGGCCAACCCTAGTGGTTGCTGGGTAGGGAAAGCCCTCATGTCAATGTAGTTCCACTATATGGAATTAATGTTCCCTGGTATAGGATGATGAATTATTTTACAAGGGGCTTGCCACATTCTCGAGTTGGCACTACTCTCCTCTTTTTTCTAGAAAATTATATGATCCCTTCTTGTGTTTTTATATGTCTTGGATTTCACTAGTTTACCTGCCTTAAAGTAGTTTTCAGGAGAGTCACTTTGCTTATGACCTAAATCTTTTTGACTGTCTCTGATTGTGAGCCCTCCTCTGCAGGTCTTTTTGATTCTGAGATTTTTGTGTCTGTCTTTTTCTGGGATTGCAGCACAGCTTTTTACCACTAGGCTGCCAGAACTCTGTCTTCCTTCCTTTGAAATTACAAGCATAAGGCTGAAATTTTCTATTTTCCTCCCCTTTTTAGGATACTCAGTTCCTAAGCCTTCTCTTATCTCACGCTTGGAGGGAAAGGCTTTGCTGTGGGGCCTGGGGCCAAAGGATCGTTCACTTGCAGAGAGCGCCAAAGATCAAAGTAAAGGTAAGAAAGGCAGGTCTAGAACTGGCACCCATGGCACTGTATTTTAAAGTGATCCATGCCAAGTAGGATTTGATTAAATTGGAATATTTCTGCTAATAAATTCAATACTAAACCTTTGGTACAAATCTTAATTCTTGCTAGCGTTGTTACAAGTGCTGTCCAGTGGACTATGATGCATAGCAACCTTGTGAGCATCGTATCTGAACCCTGCTCTATCCTCATCTGTCCTCTTCAGCTCTGATAGACTTGAGCCCATTGTTATAGTCCATCCTGTTGAGGGTCTTCCTCTCTTTTGATGACCCACCACCTTACTAAGCATGGTGCATTTTTTCCCAAGGACTAGCCCCTCCTAAGAACATGCCCAAGGTATGTGAGGTGAAGTTCCACCGTCCTTGTCTCTTAAGAACACCTGGGTTGCACTTTCTCCAAGACACATTTCTTTATTTGTCTGTTGGTGAAATGAATATTCAATACTCTTCTCCAACACCACAGCTCAAAGGCATTCATTCTTTTGTCATTCTTAATCATTGTCCCACTTTTCCAGTAGTCAAAAGGGAGAACCAGCTGACATACCTAACAGCCTGTAAGTGGACAAACAAAATGTGTTGGGGGTAGGTGTGTGTGTACAACACACATATGCAGTGAAATAATAGTCATAAAGAGAAATGACATCCTGCTGGATTCTACAGTGCGCACAAATCTTGAAAACCTGGGTGTGAAATAAGTCTTCCATAAAAGGACATATAACCATATGATTTCTTTTGTATCAAATAGACAAACATAGAAACCAAAGATAGTTGGTGGCTGGCAGGGGTGAAGAGGTAATTTTGCTTAAGGACCAGTGAGTTTATGTTAAACATAAACAATTTGTGATGATAAACAATTTGTGGAAGCATAGTGAGAATAGTTGTACGACTTGAAGAATGTAATCATGGGGAGCTCTGGTGGCCTAGTGGCAAGAAACTGTACTGCAATCCCAGAGGAACATGGTTCGAATCCACCAGATGCTCTGCTGGAGAAGGAGGCGCAATCTCCTCCTGTACCAGTCAGATCTGATTTGATGGTACACGCACACAAAATAATAAAAAAAATAAAATAAAAAAAAAAGAATGTAATCAGGCTGGTTTTTCCTAGTAAACTGGGCAAGAGTAAGAGTTTAGAACTATAAGCTTAAGCAAGACATTCTGTTTGCACTTGCTCGAGTCTGGGGGTTGTCATGCCTGCAGGGCATACTCTTGAGCCTTCTTCCTTTGCTAGTGGAGTAGGTAAGTGTGGTTGATGTATCCTCTCCACCTGGCCTCCTGAGGAAGAGTGAGAAGAGTTAGTTGAAGAACTCTGTCCTGGAGAAATCACTGCATGGGAATAGGAAGTGGAGGAGCAGACACAGCAACATGGAGCAGATGCAGGGACCCTTACCACAGTGGCCTTGCCACCTTCCTCTTTAAGGAACATCTGGACTAGGTGATCATAGATTGTCCTGAGAATAATGTCATCCAAGCCCCTCCATGATTCTCTTTGTTCTGCTTTGCAATAGCCTCATGCCCTGAATTCTTGGGAAATTCAGGAAGCAGTCAGACGTGCTGTGTGTACTGGCATGTGCACTGTCAGTATCTGATATCCTGCTTCATCTTGACAATTTGTGCATTTGGTGATTGACAGTTTTATTTACAGCCTTATCTTTTTAGCTGGCTCAAGTGGAGATCAAAAGACAGTCTCTAGAAGGCCTGATAGTTTTCCATGTTTTATTCTTCATCAGTTAATTCTTAGGTTTCGTTTGTTTTCTCTCTTCTTGTGTCAGATGGTGAAGCCAACAATGACAATGAGTCCACATCAGCACAGAAACTCTCTAGACGAAGAGACAAGATGCTCGAACGTAGGCTGCAGCAGAGGGTCCCTCGGAGAGCTGACTTTCCGCAAACACGTGAACTGGAGAAGTGCCAGGAGATCCTCACAGCAAAACGTACAAAGGGAGAAAGAATCCCCTGTGCAAGGCAACTCTTCTCATGTGAGGAGTGTGGAAGATGCTTCCGCTATTTCTCTTACTATGAACGGCACCAGAGAGTGCACACTGGCGAGAAACCCTTTGAATGTAACGAGTGTGGAAAAGCCTTTAACGGCAATTCATCACTCGTCCGTCATCAGAAAATCCACACTCGAGAGAGAGCCTACCAATGTGAGGCATGTGGGAGAGCCTTCAGTGATAATGCCAGCCTGACTAGACACCAGAGAATCCACAGTGGGGACAGACCCTATCACTATAAGGAGTGTGGCAGTCATTCTGAGGTTGTTACACACCAAAGATTCCACACTGGAGAGAAACCCTACGAATGTGGTGAGCGCGGAAAGGCTTGGGTTGGGAATTCACCACAAATTCAGCATCAGAAAATTCACACTGGAGAGAAGCCCTGTGGATGTAATGAATGTGGCAAAAGCTTCACAAGGACTTCCCTCCTTAGTCAACACCAGCGTATTCACACAGGGGAAAAGCCTTACACTTGTAAACTGTGCAGCCACGCCTTCAGTTGTCATACAAAGCTAACTCAGCATCAGAAGATCCACAGTGACGGGAAGCCCTTTCCGTGTGTAGATTGCGGGAAGGCCTTCATCTCTAAGGAACAACTCAAGAGGCACCACAGAATCCACATTCCGTTGTCTTCCTTTGTATGTGATGTGTGCGGACAAGACTTCAGCAGCAAAGGAAATCTTTTTCAGCATCAGCAACGTCACACCGGAGAGAAATCCTATGAGTGTAGCAAATATGAGAAAACTTTCAGGACTACTTTCCAGCTCGGTCCTCATGAGCATGTCCAACCTGAGGAGAAGCCAGTGCTGGACATTTGTCATTTTGGCCTCCCCGAATTTTTTACCCCCTTTTATTGGTAATGGTATATACATACACTTAATTTATTTTTGCACCTCATCCTCTACTCAGGAATAGAATCTGGGGCACAGGCCTGGCTCAGCTGCACGCTCTTCCCAGGGTCAATGAGTGACCTAAGATGATCCAAAAAGAGCAAGTCCCAGGGCTTGGCACAAACTGATTGTAGGAGCTATTCTTGTTCAGTCATTGGACTTGAGCTGAGAGGATCCCTGGATTCCTAGGCAATCTGAGAACCAAGTCTTCACAGCAGAGAGTTACCTGAGAGTGGGCGAGCAACTAGATCTTAAAGATATTGGTTGGAAAACTACATCAAACTGTCTGAATATAGTATTATAGCTGGTTTTTCAAATTTCATTAAGCAATAAATTCGTTTTGGTGTTGTGCTTAATCAAATCTGAGATTTTTTTCTTTTCATGGAAGAGTGCTAACTTACAGCACTTTTATCAGTGTAGTAATTATTTACTGTCTGCAATGGTAGCAAACCTCATGGGCAAATGTTCTCTGTGCTGTGTGTTGTGTTATGTAGGAATGTTTTTAACTCTAGTCCCTAAGTCATGCAGCACTCTGTCAGTCTGCTGCACTGAGGTAATCTCGGTTGGCTGTGATGCTGGACCTTGTGCCATTGGGAGGTCACATGCCATAATGGCTGCCCAATATGGACAGTGTTTGGTGGAACTCCCAGTTTAAGACAGGTTTGGAAGCAGAAGTGACATCCACTTCCTAAACCACATGCCTCTGGAAACTCTGTGAGCTTGGAGAAATGACAGTAATTATAGAAAGGCTTCAGGCCTTTTGTACATAGAGTTGCTGTGAGTTGTGCTCAAGTTGACAGCAATAAACAACAACAATCCCTGAGAGGGCTTTACTGCCCTTGTGTAATTTGCCAGCAAATAACATTTTCTATATTGAAATATTGCATACATTACAGAAAAGTATACAAGCTGTGGTTGTACAGTTTGGATTTTTTGCAAAGAGCATTGCTATATCAGCACCAAGATCAAGAAATAGAGTGTTTCCAGCAACCTGGAAGTCCCTCTGTACCCCATTCCAGTCATTGAGCCTCTCAAAATAACTTCTCTTTTGACTTCTACCATCATAAATGAGTTTGCCTACTCTTTGATATTTTATCTAAATAGAATAATCATTGTGGATTCATTGATTCTCAGTGCTGCAAAGAAAACTAGGCTGTGATTTTTAATAAACCATACTTAAAACTTTCTGGTTTTATACATTTTAGTAATATATACCACATACAAAGCTATGGCACATAATTTGCTGTTATTCTCAAAGACCAAGATTGGATTTATGAAGAAATGAAAATGATAATAAAAAGTAATTAAATTAAAATTAATACATTTTAATATAACGTTAATAAAAATGAGGTACTCTGCCTTGTCAGAAAAAGTTATGATGGAGTCATTGGAACAAGAACCATCAGATTACATGGAATATAACACTTCTAGAAAGTACTAAGAGTAATAATACATTGTACTATTAGTGGACATTTACATTATTACTTGGGGGATCATTTAGAGGTCTGAAAAAGAAACTAAAACCAGGGACTCTTGCATTGTTTCACCAATTACAGCTGCTCTTTATGGTAGCAGCAGTAATATTTTTAGACACCGTGTATATAATACTATTCAGGGTAAATTTTGTAATAATCTTCACGTTAAAATTGGAGAAACACAAAGGAATTTATTAAGCTTCCTAAACATTCATAGCTGGAGCGGCAGTTATGAGTCGGTTCTGTCAGTACAACAACAGAGAACAGAGGCAGCTCTGATGGCATAGTGGTAAGGAGCTGCATTGCCAATCCAAAGCGCGCAATCACCCCCATTGCGGTTTACTTCCTTTGAAAACCCACTGGAGCGTCAGCTGTGAACTGGTTCCTACTTGACTGACACAACAACAAAGATTCATAAAAAGTAGTAAAAAAAAAATCAGGTGCTGATCAGAATACTGATCTTCCCCATTACTCTCTGTACAAAAGCTGTAATACTACTTTCATCTACGAGAGGGCTGTAATAATGCCTTCTATACCTTCATCACTGGAAGCAGGAGCGGCATCCACTTCCAAAATGGCTTGCCTCGAAACTCTATGTATGAACAGTGTTCAGGCTGTTCGTTCCTAGGGTCGCTATGAGTCGTCTACGACTCGATGGCATTACACAACAACAACAACATACCTTCATCAAGATATATGAAGGAAATAAGCACCTAATATGCATAAGTGTTTATAGTTAATAAAGTGGTTTTCAGATAAAAGTGGTTTATAGCACCTGTAGACACAAATAGTTTGTTCATGAAGAGAGTTTAAGATGACTGGATAAAGTTCTTAGAGCATATGGATTCTCCAACTTTATTGTATTTTTACTTGTACAATTTGAAGAGGAGCCTCTCTGTGTAATGACTGAAGTAATTTTCAGGTTTTTATTCCTAAAAGAACAGTAACAAATGTCTTTTAATGTGTGCATGCACACATGTGAATACATGTGCCTTCTGATGTAATAATAAAACGTCTAGAAGCCTCCTCCCCTGACCATTTGAGTCGACGAGAAATTCTTCCCTTGAATTCTTTGGACTTTGAGGAAAGTCTAGGACACGAGGTGCTATGCTAGGTTCAATCCATCTGGGTTCAAAAGAAGGAATAGGGAATTGTCCGGAGGTCAGGGTTAAAATAGACAGGGATCCGCACCAGGCTGGAGAGCATTAACGACCCAGTCAGGCTAGCACCTTGGACAGCGCTACTGCTGCCTTATTTTTCCACTATAGTCCTGTCTCCATATGGTGAGAATAATTAATTCCTTGGGACTTTGGACTTGACATACTCCTCCAACGGCAACTCTGAAAACGACAGTATTTTACAACCACCAGGATATTAACATCGATAAAGTAAAAATACAGAAAGTTTCCATCTCTGCAAGGATCTCTCATGTTGCCTTTTTTTACAAACGCACATTTTTTTTCGACCCCATCCCACCTCCTCTTTTAAGCTCTGAAAACCACTAAGTAGTCTCCATTTCTAGAACTTTATAAATTGTATCAGAAAATATTACATTTTTGCACCTACACTCTCTCGCCCCCACTGCCAGCATAATTCTGTGCAGATTTATCCAGGTTGTTGCAGGAATCTAGTTGCTCATTCTGACAGCTGAACGGCCTTGCCCGGCTGAATATAACAGAGCTCGCGGGCTCGAGTCTCCGCGGGGCCGAGAGGGGGGCACCACAGAGAGCGAGCGACTCCGCTCCTAGAGAGGCTCGGCCGCGGCCTGATGACGCACTTCCTGTCGCGCCGCTCTAGCCGCCGGCTGCGGGGGTAAGTTTCGGTCTGCAGGTGTTCTGGGGGTGTCCTGACCCCCACGGTTTCTGGTATGTTTGGGAGGAGCCCTCACTTTGAGGAGGGCGCATCCCTCGCTATCAGGTGGTCACGCCTGGGGGAGGTAGACACACGGTTGCTGCTCCTCGACTCCCGCTCTGCAGTTGGCCTAATACGTCCCGGCTTGTGGAAGCATCACAACCACAGTCCCGAGCACTTAGCACTTGATCTTTTCAGAGAGGAGACTGTTGAACTTTTGAGAAGGTTTTTTGTTTGTTTTCTGGTAGAAAAAAAAGGAAGAAAAAGTTTTAAACAGTTGACAGCTGGTTGTTTTCAGTAAATACGATTCGCTCAATTCGTTAATGGGTCTTGTTCGTACCAGAAAATTCACCCATCTTTTGTCCTTTTTTATAAAACGGAAACGTTGGCATGCATTTGACTTCACACTCTGAAGCAGCATCCTACAGTCATCCATATCAGCTTCGAGGACACCATTGAGCCCTGATGGGACCCTTGTAGGGAGATGTACGGCTAACCCAAACGTCCGCCTCTCTTTCGCCATACTTTTCAGATAGGTAATGATCAAAAGGTTTAATCACTTTGCAAGGCCCACACCATGTGACTGAGAAGTCGATCACTACGAGTGTTTCTCCAGCACCGTTCAGGCATGCCATAAAATCTTCCTTGCTTTCGATCTGCTTCATCATTTTGGCCGTTAGGGTCTGACTTAAAGGAATGGAGCTGAAAACCAGTCGAGGCCTTGACAGAGGCTTTGTTCCTGGTACAGGACGCATAGTCATTTGGTTAGGCTCCTTTTCTGAAGATGTCCTTCATGTCCCACCTCACAGTTTCCTAGACTGTTCAGCACTGGCCAGGTTGCCTTTTCTCTCACTCACAGCCTATGAGTGGGAACTGACCCATAGCAGACCCTTCAGTGGGTTTCCGAGGCCGTAAAATACCCTGGAGCTTCTCCATCTTTCTCTTTCGGAACCACTGGTGATTCAGATGGCCAGAGAGGTGGACGTTTGGGTTAGCAGTACAGCTCCCTACAGGAGTCCCATCAGGGCTCAATGGAGCCTGTACTGTGTGAATAATTTCCCACTAGAAGATACTGAAATCTATCCATATCTGTCCACACCTTAGAATACTAAGTTAATTTCTTCTGCCCACAACACCTCAGGATTCTGGTATGGGTTTTATTTTGTGGTGTTTTTGCTCTCGAGATTGTGTTATATCCAATATTTCTCATTTATAGCTTCCTCCAGGGATTCACTTTGCTGAAAATTCACTTCAGCCCACCTGCTGAGAATTTGCATTTCTACACAAGATATACAGAATCAGAATCTACATTTTAACGTTGTGATGGCACATAACAACAAACTTTGCTTAAATGTAAGTTCTGACTTAGTATGTTGTTGTGTACCCATTGAGTTGGAACCAAGCCATAGCTGACCCTCCAGCGTGTTTTCTGAGGGGTGTGTGTGTGTGTGTGGTGTGATATGGTATGTGGAGATTGCACATCCTTCTCCCAAAGAGCAGCTGGTGGATATGAATCCCATACCTTTGGGATTGCAGCACAACTACTTGCCACTAGGCCATCTGCACTAAAAATTCATTTTAGCAGGGACTTGATAGAATGTCCGATGCCCTGGCTGCCTCTTTATTGGATCCTTTCAGTTTATATATGTTTGGTCTTTTTAAATTTAAATTAGTCCTGGGGTCTTACTCTGCTTAGCCGAAATTTCTGAATGGCTTACTCTGTTTTTCTCCTTTCCAACTCTACCAAGGTATTTGAAAGCATGGCTCAGACACAAAGTAGAGGGCTCCCTAGAGGTATCAGGACTCTGAGGACATCCAGAGTTCTTTGGGATGGTAGAGTGGGATGTGGGGAGCCAGCTGTCTCTTTTCAGACATTGTTTCCCTCAGCCATCTCCACAGCCTCAGTGCTGGACTTAGGAGAGCAGCATCCCCTTCTCCAGATACTGCCTTCCTGGGTTACTCTACAGCCCACAAAGCCTTCCTTTTCTTTCAGTGGAATAGCAGAGAATGCTGCTTTAGATGAAGAGAAATAGACCAGAGGCATTGGTAATCTCTTGAGCTGAGTCACGAATCTTTATTATTCACTAGGCTCTGCTTATATTTTACACATACTCTTATATGTATGTATGATATGCATCAGAACTGTAAATCTTGCGGTTCCTGGCAGTGGGTGAGCTTAAGTGTTAGACCTGCGACTGCACAGAAATTACTGCCGCCTTCCTAGCACCTACTCTTGCTGCTGTTTGTGGGCTGCCTGCATCTCAGATTGCTTGCTGTAAGAGGTTCTGTCCACCCTTGGGTGGGGGTAGTTTGTCTTACATGTGTCTCTGTTTGTTTGTTTTTTTTTTCTCTCTTAGCTGTACCTCATCTCTGAAAGGGAAAGAAGGTGATGACAAACATGCTCCAGACAGCCTGGCCACAGGTGAGCCTCAGCTCTTCGTCCAGGGAGCTTCAAAGATGGAGGGAAATGGAGAAAGGGAGCTAGTGAGCCTTACGATAAAAGCTAGAGGCAGCTTCCGTGTTCTGCTTTCAGGAGCAGAAGCTGTGGAAGAAGAAAATGTCCAGGTTGGATTAGATGTGTAGGGTGAGAGACCCACACACAGGGCCCCAGGAGAGCATGATGGGAAGTATACCCACTGAGACATTATCCTCTCTGGTACAGAAGATCCCCCCAGCAGTGGGATCTGGTGAAGGGGTACAGAGACTGTCCATGTAAGATGTGCTGTGGATGCACTTGAGTGGAGGAGGCTAGCAGAGCACTGGGTCCTAGTGAAGGACATGCCAGTGGATGGGAGTGACAGGGGCAAGTCGGTGTAAAGGACACCAGACCCCTGATTATGAGAAGGAGGAGATCATGGAGAATAGGGTCAAGGCAAGCAAGTCCCGTGGGACACGGTGCCACATTATATCCTTGAGAGGTTTTCAGATAGTGGCTCAGGCCTTATTTTTGGGTCTTTGATAAATGTACTCATCCTTCTTCTCAGAAAAGTAAACATGTAAATAAAATTTCCATGCAATTTCAGAGACTTTTAGGACTCCTGAGACTTTACCATGGACTGCAGTTGGGTGTGATAGTGACAGTAGCACCAGTGACATCATTTGAGGCTCGCTGTGTTGCGGGCCTATGTTAAGTACCTGCATGGACCATTCCATCCCAGAAGCTGTCCTCTGAGACAGGTGTATAGTGTGATTGTTCTGCCAGTAGGGAGACAGGCAGAGGGGCTTGCGTGATGTACTGCAGTGCTGCTTAACTGTTCATCTGAATGAAGTCTGTGGTGCCAGTGACGTTAACATCAGCTTTATCACAGCTGTACATGGGAGAATTTTGAGGGAGTTTCAAAAACAAAATGACCATTTCAGAAAGTGTGCCACTTGCCCAGTAATGTGGCCTATATAGCAATTATTAAGCACTATGTAAAAGGGAAGAGTTACCTTCAAGCAATGCTTAAGAGAGTTTCAGCATGCAGAGTCAAAGCATTGGAGCTGAGAGAAGAGAAAGGGAGGACACTTTCCCCAGGGATAGGGTGGTGGCTGCAGCAGTGAGCAGTGAAGGTATTTAATCTTGTGCAGAGAAGTAATTTTTCCAAGGTCATATAGAAACATTTAAAGCTTCAACTAGAATTGTTCAGAGTGGGTGAAGGACAGTAGAATCAAGCAACATAAGTCCTGGCAGAGGCACTGAAAGGGAAATCCCTGCAGGCTGGTCCCCAAGATTGTACAAAAGGCTTGAGTGAGAATCAGCCAGAGGCGAGAATTGTCCAGGAGGGAAATCATGTCTGCCTGAGGCCCACAGCATCACACGTCAGTGGCAGTCCTGGGCTGACACATGGATTGGTGATGCACAGAGAAGCCCAAGGAGGACGGAGCAGACAGCTAGTCAGTAGGAAAGATGGCCTTCTTCTTCCCTAAACCTGGAGAAGCAGTGAAGTCTTGAGATAACATTGGAAAGGATGAGGCCATAAAGGAAGAAAGTCACAGAAAATGCTAGTTTTCAGGGAGCTCCATCCTCAGCAGTGCACACCCTCCTTTTCACGGCCCTCGTTGGGGTCTGACAGGAACCAGGCAGCAGGTGGGCTGAGATGGAGGTCGTGACTGTTCTCTCTTCTTTAAGGCGATTGAGGCTTGAGGAGGAGGGTGAGTGGAACAGAACATGGTGGCATAATGAGACACAGGGAGAAACCAAGGCCTCTGGGGATGAGGAGAAACTGGCAGTGGGTCTGTTCTGAGCTGTTCTCTGCCAGTAAGAGATGAGGTAGTGCCTCCATAAGATGATGGAGCTGTTTTTTTATGAATTTGGTTGTGAGGGGGAAAAAGTATTTTGCTCCTAACTTACATTGAAATGCCACAAGGCTTCTATGTTAAAATGGAAAGTGGATATTCTGTGATCCAGTTTCCAGGTGCTTTCTCTTGAGTCTTTCCCGTTATTAATGTCGTGCTCTTCCAAAGCTCCCTCCCCAGGCCCTTATACTGCCCTCTACCCCTCACCTAGGGCCTGAGCCATGGAATTGGCCCTAGGGCAGCGGGAACCTGTTGTTTCAGAAGTTGGTGACTTTTGAAGATGTGGCTGTGTACTTCTCGCAGACAGAGTGGGATGGCCTGTCTCCCCGACAGAGAGCCCTGTACAGGGATGTGATGCTGGAGAATTATGGACATGTGGCCTCCCTGGGTAAGGCCTTCCACCCTCTGAAGCCCAGATTGCTGCCATTTGGGGTTTCTGGGGTTCTCCTTAAAGATAATAGGCAGGGTCTCTGGGAATTCTTTACCAAGAGACAGAGTTTCTTAGTTCTCTAGACTCAGAAAAGGGGCAAATGCCAAGGCTTTTGGGGCCAGTTTAGGACTTTGCTGGACTAGTGGGATTTCACCCTCCAGATACTTTATTTTGGACATAGTGTGTGTGTGGGGGAAATATCCTGTTCCCACAGCCTCACCTTCTAGTTTCCTCTCTGTACATATAACCAAGGATCTCAATGCTTCAGAGGTTACTCCGTCTCCCTCCTTTCCCCAGCTTCCAAAGCACTGTCTCATAATCCTCATGCATGAGGTCCTGGGGCTCTTACCTTCCTTCCCCATTGCTGAGACAATCTGAGAAGCAGCTTAGGAACTCCTCTGTTTAACATTATTTGCCTGTTTTCTTCTCCTGGACCAGGATTGCCACTTCTCAAACCTGCTGTGATCTCACACCTGGAGGGAGGAAGTGAACTATGGAATCTACCTCCAGTGCCCTCTGGAATGGAAACAGGCCCCCAAGGCCTCTGGACTGGTAAGGGAGCACGGACTGCCCTTTATGTCAGAAGGTTTAGCTCCTTAGGAAAAGCCAGCCTGAGCAGCAGACCAGTATGCCATATTTTTTGTCAGCCACAGTACAACTGAAGTAAGTCCTGATGATTTAGCAGATTAATTTAGATCGTTCACTTCTATTTATTTTTAATCTGATTTTTTTAATTCTGCTTTTTTCTGATAATATTAATAGGTTCCATAATTGTCTGTGTTCTTGCTATTTCCCAAATATTGTCTTCTTAACATGAAGATAAAGAAGTAATGGTCTTTTCACACACAGAAGAGCCTGATGTTTGAAAACACAGGCTTTGGAGAACTTCCTGAGTTCAGATTCTAACTGTGCCACTTCTTATATGAGTGACTAGTTTGTGTTCCCAAAGAGTCAATGTCCTTATCTCTGATAATTTGATAATAAAATGGTATTAGTAAAGGAAATACATACCAAGGCCCAGTGTACAGCGTGTGCTCAGTTAAATCTTGTGTTATATATTTCAGGAGGAGATAACTATACATGAGGTGAAGTACTGTAGGAAGGGTGACGTCCTCTCATTTGTTGCCCCTCATACATTGATGAGCACATGTATTATCTCATGTAGGGGGACACACCAGTCAGGCCACCCTTTGGGCGTCAGGGTTCTCATTGGTTCAGGCCAATTAGCTGCCACTTGACTTCCCATTTCTCAGAATGTGGCATCTGCAGGGTTCTCTCACATCCTTTCAGTGAATCCTTTTTCCCCCCCTTTGTTTCAGTGGATATTTATCCCTTTTTGACTGTTAACCATATGGTTAACATATGATTTCTGACTAAGGAAGACATGTTTTGGAAATAGGAGTTTGACAGAAGGATAACAGGCCTGACAAATAGAGGAGGAGTGCAGTGCTGTAGAGATCTTTGATCACAGGAACTAGGCTTCATCCTGTAGGCAGCAGACAGACCTCAAGTCTTTCTGAAATCTCTGAACAACCCTTCTTGATCTTAGGTGAGGAGAAGAAAGTTAATTGCATCAGTGTGTGTAGGTTAACTGAGTGAGGAGTCAGATTGGGTCAAGACAGGCAGAAGGGCAGAGGACAAAAGGCACATGTCTGGTTTTATCTTCCTTCCATCTACTGCAAGTGTTTCTTCCAGTGACGTTCTCTTATGTATACAAGGGGCAGATTACATATGATTGAGAAGAGACTGAATACTGAACAAATATGGGCAATATTTTGGGCATATTTTTGAGACATTTTGGTGCAAATGCAGAAATTAGCGTTAAAGGTTGTTGAGGTTATAGAAAGAATTTTATGGAATGATCAATTTTAGGATTAAGAGTTAGAGAAAAGACAAGAGTGTCCTGGGGAAGGTGGGTTTGAGATGTTGGGCGAACCTTCAACAGACCCATTCTAAAGTTGAGAAAATGCAAAGGAAGAATTTTGGGAACTCTAGAGTTTAAATTCTAAGAAAATTATTTTCCTTTTGTTTCCTGGTGCTGCTAACTTTCCATTCTCATATGAATTTTCCATTTTTATTAACAAAAGGTTCAGATATATAGTGTCAGTTAAGAAGAAAGTGCAAAGTATGGGAAAGTGTGATGTGATGGCAAGCACACAGACCTGGTGGCCAAGACCTGGACATGTTCCACGGGTGCTCATCCGTGCCCTTACTATTGTTCACTTTGTCCTTTATGGTGGTCTTTTCTTAGGTCAAAAATATGCCAGTCTTTTGAAAATCATTACTTTTAAGAATTAGAATATTGACACAGGCTCAGAGCAATACCAAAATTGTACAAAGTGAGACAAAGTCTTTCAAACACTGTGTACTAGTTTATCCAGTTTATTTATTCTTCTAGAAGCTTTCTAGGCCTTTTCTCTTTTTCCATTACATCAGTAGAATCTATTCTACATATTGCTGCTCAACTTAGTTTTTCACTTACCAATATAATATCTTGGTCGTGTGTGTGTGTGTGCATGTGTGCATGTACTTGGGTGCACTTACATAGATCTCTTTCGTTTACTTTCACATTATTCTACCTTGTAGACTTAGACTTCTACCTTAGGTTCTGTAGCCTGGAGCCCTTTGATAGTTATGATTCTTTACTCCTAGCAGAGTTCTTTCCTTTTTCTCACATTCCTCTTACATGACATTGCATGTTTTCTATTTTTCACTGTAGATGTTGATATCCAAACTGACAATAACTTGATAGAGGAAATGTGTGAAGAAAAAGATAGTGCATCATTTAAACTTCAGAAAGATTTTCCCCAGGAAACAGACTTTTCAGAAGCATACGTTCTAGAGAAGCAGCAGGAAGTCCACACAGCAGGAAGTGTGAAGAAAGAACAGAGCATTGTCATTGATGGGATAGTAAAAGATGAGCCAAACCCCATGGAGGAATGTGTTTTTAGTGAAAGCCCAGATTTGTCTCACTGTCACACTGTATCCATTGGAGAACATCCTTTTGATTGTACAGGATCTGAAAAAGCCTCCAGTGCTGACAGTAAGTGTGTTCAGCCCGAAACAGTTAAAATAGAGGAAAGAGTCTTTAAATGTGAAGAGCTGGTAGAAACCTCTATGTGTGACTCTCAGTGTAATGAGCATCAAGATGGTGACACTGGAGAGACAGCCTATCAGTGCAAAGAATGTGGTGAAGCCTTCAGTGCTAATGAAAAATTAATTTGGCATCAGAGACTTCACAGTGTGGATAAGCCCTTCAAATGTGTAGAGTGTGGGAAAAGCTTTAGCTACAGCTCCCATTATATTACACATCAGACAATCCACAGTGGAGAGAAACCTTATCAATGCAAGGTATGTGGGAAGGCCTTCAGCGTCAAAGGGAGTCTAAGTCGACATCAGAGGATCCACACTGGAGAGAAACCCTATCAGTGCAAGGAGTGTGGAAGTGGCTTCAGCTGCAGCTCTGCATATATTACACACCAGAGAGTCCACACTGGAGAGAAACCTTATGAGTGTAATGACTGTGGCAAGGCTTTCAATGTTAATGCAAAGTTAGTTCAGCACCAGAGAATCCACACTGGAGAGAAGCCGTATGAGTGTCCTGAGTGTGGGAGAGGATTCCGGTGCAGCTCCCAGCTCCGACAGCATGAGAGCGTCCATACTGGAGAGAAGCCCTATCAGTGTAATGAGTGTGGGAAAGCCTTTCACAATAACACAAAGCTCATTCAGCATCAAAGAGTCCACACTGGGGAGAAACCCTACAAGTGTCCCGAATGTGGAAAAGCCTTCAGTGTCAAGGGGAAATTAATCCAGCATGAGAGGATCCACACTGGGGAGAAGCCCTTTGAGTGTGCCGAATGTGGGAAAGCCTTCAGGTGCAGCTCCCAGCTGCGGCAGCATCTGAGAATCCACACTGGGGAGAAGCCCTATGAGTGTAGTGAGTGTGGAAAGGCCTTCAGTGTTAATGCAAAACTCATTCAGCATCAGCGGATTCACACTGGGGAGAAACCTTTTGAATGCAGTAAGTGTGGGAAATGCTTTACTTCCAAAAGGAACCTCCTTGATCATCACAGAATCCACACTGGAGAAAAGCCCTATCAATGTAAGGAATGTGGGAAAGCCTTCAGCATCAATGCCAAACTGACTCGGCATCAGAGAGTGCACACTGGGGAGAAGCCTTTCAAGTGTATGGACTGTGAGAAGGCATTTAGCTGTAGTTCCGATTATATTGTACACCAGAGAATCCACACAGGAGAGAAGCCCTTCCAGTGTAAAGAATGTGGAAAAGCCTTCCATGTGAATGCCCATTTAATCCGGCACCAGAGAAGCCACACTGGGGAGAAACTCTTCCGATGTATGGAATGTGGGAAAGGCTTCAGCTACAGTTCTGACTGCATCATACATCAGACAGTCCACACTTGGAAAAAGCCCTATGTATGTAATGTGTGTGGGAAAGCCTTTAGGTTTACCTTCCAACTGATTCAGCACCAGAGTATCCACAGTGAAGGAAAGTCTCAATAATGAGAGATACGGGGCTGTGTTGGCACAGATGATGTGTCCTCGGATCCACCAGGTGGAAAACCTTGTTAAGTTGAATTGGCGGAGGCTTCACTTGGAAACATAGTGTCTGTTTTTTCAATTTATAATCAGGGATGGATGGCCAAGTTAAAAAAAAACATTTAAAATTAAAGTAACTTTTTAATACCAGTAACCAATATTAATATAATGAAAAACCATATCCATTCTCAGCAAAACCAAGAAAAGAAAATTTCTGAGTAAGTTTAATAAATCATAGAGGACTCATGAGAAAATCTTGAACCTCCACTGATGGTCACTAAATAGGAAATTGGAATGAATGAAGAAAAACTTGCTCCTGGATCAGAAAATCCTTTTAAAAAAGATAATTGGCTACTTAATTTATTTCTACTTGATTTTTTTTACAAGCATGCATTACTTTTGTAAAAAGGAAAACCAATAAAAAAATTCTACAAAAGGAAAAAATACTGAGTACTTTTTTTTTAAGCAGGAGGGAAAACATTTGTAAGCATTGGATAAAAGCTAGAAATAATAAGAGGAAATAGGGAAAAGATGACTGCAAATGTAATTGTATGGTTAAAAAAATTTTAGTAATCCCAAATAAGTGATACTACCTTACAAAAAAAATCCTGCCAAAAACCAGCCTCACTGCTCTCTAGTATGACTTCTGGTGACCCTCCGTGGGTACCTGGGGCTGCAGATATTTATAGGAGGAGATTGTCAGTCTTTAGCCCACAGGGCTGCTGGTGTATTCAAACCACCAACCTTACCATTAGTCTAACAACACACTATATCACCAGAGCTCTTATGTAATAGAGAAGTTAAATCTCCACAAAGATAATGTTCTGCACATTTGGTGATGGTGACTAGAGTCTTCATGGATTGTACTGTGTCCCCCAAAATAAGCACACATACGTACATATGTATTTATAAAATGTGGAAGCTATAAAATAATCCTCCTGCATCTGATAAACCAAATAGTTATAGGATGATTGGGAGTGGAAAGCAACACTCACAACCCTTTTCCCTAGAGCATGGCCTCTAATACCTTTTCTCTCACTGGCAATGAAAGAAAGCAAACTAAGAGGGGCTTCTCAGCACCACTATAAAATAATGGAGAAGTGTGGAACACACTTTTCTGGACCTGTGTCATTTATGTCAGTTGACTTTGATTTCTCCAGAGAGTATGGTCCTTAGGCCTAGGATTAGCAACTCATTCTCTCAAGGTGTTCGGCTTCCTGTTGCCTGTTCTACATACACATTTATTTACATCTTCTAAAAGTGCGAATCTAGAACAGTCAGTCACCTGCCAAACTTGTGCATAGTTATGAGCCTTTACCTGTCCGTGTCTGTCTTGCCTGTCTTGCGTATCCTCTTGTAGATGAACGCTTCCATCGCTACTGCAGGACTGTGCAAGCAATGCTCACCTTTGATGGCTGTCTCTTGTGCACTTCTCCATGTCTTCCTTTTCTCCGGTAATATTGTGCTGATCACTTTCTTTGGGTCCTCTAGTGAGAGTTTGATTTTTACTGAAGGAATTAACAGAAAGACAACTGGCAAGTTGATTCTAGAAAAGAGATTTATATATTCACTTGAAAAGTAAAGTCAGGATAAGGTCACTACCTCAGAAACCTGATTGGTTAATATTGTATATGACAACAAAATGCAGTCACTGGAGTTCTCAATAGACTAGAATGGCCACACCTTGAAAGTTCACCTTAAGAGTTTGCTACAAGTTCATACCAGGTTCACAGAGCTGTGGACTGACTGGCTGGGGCCCTTAAGCTCTGTAGTGTTTGCCAAACCAGGCTTCAGGGTGTGAGAGCCAGAGGACCATCTGAGAAAATGCAGGACCCATGGCATATTTTTCTTATTTCTGAGTTTTGCAAGTTTTTGGGTATCTTTTGCACATGGATGAAGAACCTGAGCCTCCATTTTATCTTCTGTAAAATGTCCTGTGATAGTTTGTGATAAGACTTTTTAGTACTGATAGTACTAGCTTACAGTAATGATAGGACTGAATGGGCGGGGTTAGATAAAGGCTCTGCCAGAGCCTGGTCCAGAGATAGTGCTCGGTGATCAAGGGCTTGTTAGAGTGGGTGCTGACATATTGATTCACAGGCAGTAACATACAGTTCTATATACGTGGACACACTGATAGATGTCTATACACAGTATTAATAACCACCCTACACTCCCCAATTCACACACAGAAAGACAACATGGACCTTTCCCTTGCCTCACAGACACAAAAGATGACACATGCACACAAACTCAGACCACCGCAGCCTGCTGCAGACACACTTGACCCTGTTTTCTTTCACTCTAGTTTCAGTGACCAGTGTTGGCCACCATTGCTGCCTTGAGTTCTTTAGAGGCGCTGTTCCCCTCAGAACACATAGTCCTCACTTCTGTAGTGCCCCAGGATTGCCCTTTTGCCAGTATGCATGCAGGGCTCCTTGGAGCCAAGCTTGGCGAGTCAGCCCCTGGGGTACTCAAAACACACACAGGAGAGGTGAGAAGAGAGGGTGAGACTCCTCCAGGCACAGAACTCTGCTCCTCTTGGGGCTACAGTTACGTACACAGTGAGGCCCCAAAGAGCTCAGGTGAGGAGCCACAGCCCTTTGATTACTTAGAGAGAATCTGAGTCTCCAGAGGGTACCATCTGCTCCCACAACAGTGACTGCAGGGGCTCACCTGGCCAGGGGAGAAGTCAGAGGTCAGCCCCGTCCCTGCTCAGTCTTGCAGAATCTGGGAGGCTGTGGCAGGACTGAAGTAGGGACCCTGGGAAGGTTGAGCATCACCGAGCTCAGAACTGATGTCCCAGATCTACCAGCATGCTCTGCATGACCCAGGGCCTCTCAGGATTATGGGTTTTGGCACAGAGGAAGCTGGCCCCAAGGATCTGGAAGGCTCTTCCTGCTCTGATGGGTTCTCACCATTTTCTCCCTCTGCACAGGTCTGTGGCTGCCTAGAGGACCCCAAGTACACAGGGCAAAGTAGGCATTTGGGTTTTTAAGAGAACCCCTTGAAGTCACATGGCTTCACCACCCAGGATTTCTGAATTCTTCTTGGACCCTTCTGGGGACTTCTGGCCTCTCTGCTGATTACCCCATCCCCAAATTGCACAGGTCCAGAGGAAGACTTGGGAGGACAGAAGAGTCCTCTGCAGCATCTTGGGCCCTCTATGGTCCGAAACTCCCTCCTCCTGCTTTAGAACCTTGGTGGCCCAGCGATTAAAGCATTTGGTTGCTAATGGGAGAATTTGTCATTTGCACTTACCAGCAACTTTGCAGCAGAAAGAGGAGGCAGTATGCTTTGGTGAAGATTAACCACACTACCATTGAGTTGGTTCTGACTCATGGAACCACCATCAGATTTCCAAGTTTGTAAACTGTTAATAGAGGTGACTACTTATCTTTCTCTCACAGAGCACCTGGTGCATTCGAACTTCTGACCTTTGAGTTAGCAGTCTGATTCATGATGCACTCTTCCCCCTGGAGTGGCTTCAATAAAGACTATAGCCTTGGAAATCTATGTGGGTCCAGAGGAAAGTTTTCCACAAATAACTCAGACCAAGTGCTGGTAGAAGGTCCATGGGCAGTCTTGTAATTGCTCTTGTTTTATTTCAGCCTCTAGGAAATGTTTTGTGTTGGACAAATGTGCAAAAGACCTCTTGAGGTCTTAAGAGAAAAGCTGTCATATTGAGGACTAAGGTGCATCTGTCCCAAGCCATGGGATTTTCATTCGTCTCATAAACAAGTGAAAACTGGACAGTGAATAAGGAAAAGGATGTAAGAAGAATTGGTGCTTTTGAATTACTCTATGCAAAGAATATTGAATATATCATAGGCTGACAGAAGAATGAACGGTTCTGTCTCATAAGAAGTGCAGATGGAGAGCTTCTTAGAAGCAAGAACGGCAACAACTTTGTCCCACATATTTTGCGCATATCGTCAGGAGCCCCCAGTCTCTGCAGCAAGACACCAGGCTTGGTTAAGCAGAAATACTCACTGCCTTCGAGTTGGAACTGATGCAATGCTGACCCTCCAGAGATACACCAAGGCTGCAAACTGCATGAGAAGAGTTTTCCCATCTTTCTCCCAACGAGCTGCTAGTGGGTTTGAACCTCTAGAGACGTGAGGCCTTTGGGTTAGCAGTGCCACTCCTTGTGGACTATGCCTCTAGCCCAACAAAATGAACTGATAGAGTGGCTTCAGCGATGGACTCAATCATGGCAGTGATTGTGAGGGTGATGCTGGAGGGGGCAGTGTTTCTTCTGATGTCCACAGGGTCACTGATTCCAAAACAACACTGGCAACTCTGCTTAGGTTGTCATGAGCCTTACAATAAACTAACTGGAAATGAAGTGGCAGCAGGAGGGGAAACATTCTGAAAATAATGAATGGCATTGCCCTTCGAAAAGGGCAGAAAGAGGGGTCCACGTCCCTACTCATTTCTATGCAGAGGCTGAAACTGAGTCCCAGAGAGATAATCCATGTGCCCAAAGCTGAATGGAGAATGTGACAGACACTCAAGATCCTGGCTGTTTCACACACACAGTGTTCAGGCCTTCAGACCTAAGCAGGGCCTGGGCAGAAAGGGCAGTGTGTACAGAGAGGGTCAGAGGGTTGGAGGCAGAACCTCCAGACCCACCCTGTGAACATGTGCACTGTGAGGTTCCCAAACCAAGGGAGCACCAGGACTGACAGACACAACAGGCAATGGCAGAGTGACCCCACCGTGGGAGCTGCTCTCATGTCCCCAAGGACTGGAGAAGAGAGAGAACCAGGTGGGCAGCTTCATTTGAAGGAGGTGCCTTGAGAGGGTTTGGGCCAAGCATGGGTGGGATATCAATGGTTCATAAAGGGTAGAGGTCATGTTTTAGGGCCAATGGGACTACTTAGGGACCAGCCTGCCTGGGGTATGAGTTATGCCCTGGGACCAGTCACATGAGCTGGAGACTCTTCATGCCTGTGGGAGCAGGGAGAGAGAAGAGAGGAAGTGGAAGGATCAGTGAGGAGGGACCCTGGTCAGGCTTGTCCTGCCATCTGAGTTTCACAGTGAGTTCACCTCAAATGCCCCTGTCTTTGCTGTCCTCCCTGGTCTCCACTGGTCCTTGCCTGTCTCTTCTCTCTCTCTGCTCAGTCTCATACTTACCACACTGCACTTCAATAAGTGGGGCTGCTGGTGTCTGACTCCCAAAGGCTCCACAGGGCTGGGTCGCTGGGCAGGAGGTGCCACCAGCTGAGGAATACATTTTGTTTGAATGGTTCTATAATGGAAAAAGTGCTTTGTTCCTGGTAGATAGATGGTTTACATGTTTTCAACAACCAGTGTCTGGCAAATTCCTGGGGCACAAATACAGAAATAGAACTTGTCCAGGGGAGGAGGCCCCTGAACCCAACTTGCAAATGAGGGGGGAGATGACCATCTTTAGGGGACATCAGAATTGGGATGCTCTCCATTTGGCCACCAGGGGGTGTTCCATCTCCAAATAGTCAAAGGCTGCTCTTGACAAGCCTGCGGAGACCCAGGCTTGATGTTGGCACTACGGAAGTCAGTTCCACCAACCCACCCTCCCCACACCCTCAATTTGCGTTTATCTAGAATATAGAAGATTCCTCAGGTTATCTCTTATTACTACCATATTTTATGATTAAGTGGGCAAGTACTGCAATCCAATTTTGATGTGAGTACTAATGGTCCAAACCCTTTAGGAATCAAAGTTTTAATCACCCCACCTGGCAAAGAAACACAGCTGAAGCTGAGATAGTTGCTGAGGTCATAAGTACCAAATGAGTCGTGGAATAATTCTGAAGACCAGTTAACAACCCTGTGACCAGTTCTAGAAATGAGAACTGTAATTGTTAACGAATATTTCTTTGTATGTGTGCATGAAATATTTTCATGTTCTTCACTTATAAAATGTACACTATAAATTGGGTTAGTGCATTTCCAGGTGGAAGCTTGTTCGTTGTATCATGTCAGGCACAAGGATGATTTTATAACTGTATTTAAGATTATGGTTTAAGAAAATGTGTACAGGTATCAAGTGGACAGTGATGGTTAAGGCTGTATGCCAGGTGGTTGCCTATGATTCTGTAGCTGAGCAGTTGAGATGTGGTTATTCCTTTGATGATACCTGATGCAGTATAATTCCCTTGATGGGCTTTACCATGAATGGGCAGTTGGTTATTTCCTATAAGTATGTCTGCAGTCCCTGGCTGTCTTTGATTTTTGTTCCATCTCATTCTTGCATCAGGCTCACCACCTCTCTGGTATTTGTCCTTGCCTTGGATTCTCCACTTACCTGTCCTGTATTGGTGGCAGATTCTACAAACCCACTTGGTGGATTCTCATCTTATTCACCCCCTAGGACTCAAGATTGAACTCTTTAGGGGTGGGCACCCAGAGATAGTGAGGTTGGGGAGTTGGCCACGGGGAACTATGGATGTGAAGACAGCTGAGGCCGTCTAAGCAGAGTGATTGATAAGCTATTCAGAGCTATGACTGGCCTCAGGTTCCACTTATCAACAGCTAGGGCTTGATCATCAGTTGGGCTACAGTTTAAAAATGGCAGAGGCAGCTGAGGGCTAGAGCAGTGGGGAAGGCAGCATCCAGGACTGGGAAGAGGGTGCAGACTTCACTGGGCCTCAGCTCTTGGACTACGCGTCTCCAAGGCATTTCCGGCTACCCTAGGAGGTAAGTTTTCATGACACAAGAGTTCATGAACCCTTAGCTTGCTGGTCAGGTAGATCCAGCACTAGCATTTTCCACGGAGTCTTTGAAAAGACACTTCCCTGCAAAGAGCAGGAGTCTGTGTGTTCCCAACTTTGGGAAAGACAAGAGGGGCAGTTGTTGATACTGAATTGACCATGTCTTCTTTCTTGCCTTACTTATTCTTTTAGTGACAGTTCTGGTCAAATGGCCTGGCTGCCTTCCAGGTTTACACATGCCCCAAGTGGGGCTGGGCAGCTTGTCCATCACTCATTGCACCCTTTTATGCTCATTTCCTCAAGTGAAGTGCAGCCCTGGCAGACCCTGTTTAAGGGGTCCTAGTAAGTCTAAGAGAGAATCTGTTAAATTAGTTTTAAAACTACCTAAAATTATGACTCTTATTTGGGTGTTTGTGAGAAAGGGCTGGGCTGAGGAGAAGCCTGTTAAGATCCCATACATTTTAAGTGAGGTTCAGTCGCAACATGCAACAACATACCAAGTTCAGCCCTATGGCTGTTGAGTCAAGGACAACTCAGAGAAGGCCCGCATTGGGTTTCTGAGGCTATAAATTTTTATGGGTGAATACTTCCCATTTTTCTCCCAAGGAGCGCCTGGTGGATTCAAACTACTGACCTTAAAAGCTAGTAGCTCAACATGCTACACCCTGTTGCCACAAGGGCTCCTTCATTGTTAGACAATGACAAATACTCCACTTTTGTTATCCTCCTATTTCCATCCACTAAAAGCAGCTACTCTTAATTTCTTAGGTGTGTAAAAACACCTGCCAAGAGCAGTGATTCCTGGCAGACCCTCCAGTGAGTCTCCGGAGGTTGTAAATTGCAGAGAGGGAGATTATCCACCTTCTCCCTATGGAGCTGCTGGTAGACGTGGATTGCTAGAGAGGCATGGCCTTTTGGCTAGCAGCACAGCTCTCAGTACCACCACGCCAGTTTCTATATCAGGACAGACATTGATTTCCATTCTTTTACACAAAAGAAGAATGCACATTGTTAAGCACATTGTTCTAAAACCTAGTAACACTGGACTTTTCCATATCAGTGACTGTGTCCTTGTTATTTTTAATATATTAACAATATATTAAACTACATGCATATCCATGCATTTACTTCACCAGGCTACCCCTACCCCAATCCATGGCTATCTAGGTGTTGCCCAGTTTTCTGTGCATGCATGCACACACACAAACACAAATGTATACATTCATATGAACTTAAAGGAGAACCTTTTTAAATTGGAAGTGCTAGAGTTGAAGGGTAACTGCATTTTCAACTATGATGGGTGTCACCTGATTGCCCTCTGTGGGCTTCCGCTTGACCTAAAAAGCCTTGAGAGATGATTCAATAGAGGGAACATGGCAGAGTGTAGGTTCTGAGAGCATGGAATACGAGCTGCCATGGAGAGAGTTTGTTTCAAACAGGGCTTGCTATGCAACATGACTGAGAAGTTCAGGTCCATTCCCATTCTGGAGAACAGGGGCAGGCCATATGGACAGAGTAACCAGTAAGGTAAACATGAACTTATTTGTGTTTATTTACTAATCTGTAATGAAGAATTTTGCCTGAATTTCACTATGTCAAAGACGGTTCACCAGTTAAAGTTCTTAACAAAGATAATAAAGTAAATACAATTAAGCCCATGTGTACCTTCCTTACTGGGTAATCTGGCCTGGAAGACTGGGAGGAAAGAAGCTTTGATACAGGTGAAGCGGCAGGATTCAGTGGAGGTGAGTGGGCAGCTTGGGAAGGAAGAAAGTACAGGGGGATCTGAGAACCTGGGTTTAGAGTTTAAGGTGTTAGAGGCGGAATGAAGAAAGTCTGGGGGCTCCCGAGCTAGCACTGCAGTCTGTGCTGGTGTGTACAGATGCCAAGGTTGTGCACTGTACCACTCCAGAGATGACATTCACATTGTCCTGCAGCATGATGTCGCTCAGAGTTGTGCAAGTTGGCAGCCCTTGAGGGTGTGTGGACATGATTCTGTTTCTTCATTCTCTGCTCAGCAGCTTCTCACCTCCTCCTATTCCACTGAATCTTTCCCCTTCTAGATGCAAAACTGGAGCTCTGGTAGCCTAATAGGTAAGGATTTGCACTGTCAGTGCAGAGGAGCAGTTCAAATCCACCAGTGGCTTCATAGGAGAACAATGGGCAGTCTCCTCCTGTGCAGTTTATAGGCTCTGAAAACTCCTGGAGGGTCAACTGTGAGTTGATTCCAACTCGATGACACATAACAACTCAACAACTGAAAACTTAGGAACATTTGCTTCACAGTGTTCAAGCTGAGGATACTGCATCATTTTCTTTTTACTGGTATACTTCAAGTAACAACCTTAGATTTTTTCTGATCATGTTCTTATAAAAGAAATTCAGAAACATATAAAGAGAAAAAGTAAGTATGACAAAAGTAATTTTTTATGTTACCTCCTGTACCATTCTAGACTGCATGTAAGTGTTATGCCTAAGGTTTTTAGGCACTAGATAAATAG